CAGGAGCTCCGGCGCGGTCTTGCCGGCCCTGCGCAGGGCCGGGGCCTGCTCTGAGAGCTTTCTGTCGAAGAACGTGAGGGACCCTCCGCCAGGCGGGACGGGAGGGCAGGCGATCGCCATTGTGTCCATGCTCCTGCTCGCGCCCCGACCCCACGAGGAGCCGGAGCGGGGCCGTGGGTACACATTCCTGGCCTCCGAGGCCACCACGTTCTTTCTGTGGCCATGCCCTGCTTCCCCTTGGCGCCCAAAGTGGGGGGCAGCAGCAGGGGTCTGGGTGGTCGAGCGTCGATCGTCGAGAGGGGGGTGAGCGAGCGAGCGAGGCGCCAGCGCAAGCTGTAAGGGGCAGCTCCTAGGAGGTCTTCGTCAGAACGATGAAGGGCTACCCAGCCCGATTCAAGGGTCTACTGAGCCCGCTCAGGCTGGAGTACGCCCAGAACTACGCCAGATAAAGCGAGATCGAGCCAGACGGGGCGGGACAGAATTGGATTAAGCAGGATCAAGCGGTACTAAGTCAGATTAGGCTGGTCTTCCACCAGGGATAATCCAGCGCCGGTTCAGAATTGAATCTCCCAGGAGTTGCATCCTGGGCGGGGGGGAGGTGAGCGAGCGAGCGAGGTGCCCGCGCAGGCTCGAGCGGCGAAGCGCGTGTGCCTGTGCCCGCTTTGGCAAGGTGCGTGAGGCCGCAGCCACTCAAGTCCTGCAGAGCTCTGACTCACACGAAGATCTTCAGGTCGGAAACTGGAAGTCAGAATGCTGGGGTGGTGTCGGGAGTTGGAGGTATGCGGCTGGGTGATGGCTGGAGGACGAGCTGGTTGCGTCGAAAGTGGGAGTCGAAGCGCAGGCGTGTGCAACTGGAAGTCGATAGCTGGGGGTGGAGGAGAAGGTCAAATGCTGGAAGCCAGAGGTCGGAGTACTGAGGGGGTGGAGGCGGGGGGGCAGGGGGGAGGGAGCCCCCCTCTTCCTCCGTGCTCCCTCTCCTCCTGGACCCCGTGAGACGGCGCAGTCAAGGGAACTGTGGCGGCACAGGCTGCTCTCCGTGGGCTTCTCTTCAACGAGTGCACAGCGGAGCTGAACTTTGCACACGCTTCGGGAATTATGGCTGTTTCGGCATTATATGATTCGCTGGACCCGCCCCATGCTGGTTATGAAAATGACAGACAAAATGCGAGCATCCACGTAGCAGATTGGTCTTTTCGAATCAGCTCCACCTCTCACCCCGATACTTGAGAAGTCGTCAGAGCTTTCGGAAGTAATCATCCAGGCAGGTGATAATTCATGCGTGCCGCACTCGATACGAGAGGTCTCTAACGCTGCACAGTCTTGGACCTTCTTCGATACGAACAGAGTGCAGAAACACGTGGCACGAAGTGTTGTGGCCTCGCTAACCACAAACGAGCCAGGCTGCAGAGCAGCTGCCGCTGGTATTGTTACCGATGCTCGTTCCGCAATTCGATGATCCAGACGTGTTTAGTGACTGCAGTGATGCTGTGGAGCTGCAGAACACGAGTCCCAGCGAGCAGGTGCCACCCAAGCAACGGCATGGGTGATTACGTCGAGGCGCCTTACTGCATACGCGTGGTAATGAGAGAGCCCCAGCTGGTCACACCCCTGCCCATGGGAAGCTTGAAGACACTGACTCCCTGCCCTTGCCTGGACGGGGGATTGGCCCAGCCGACCGGCAAGCGGGCCTGGAGGCCAAAGGAGCCCTCGACCTGCATCCCAGACCCTGGGAGGCAGAGTGGCAGCAGCTTAAGAGCTCGATTGAGAATCTGGAAGTAATGGCGCGACTTGCGGCGGCTATATGGCCGCGAATTCCGAAGGTGTTGCACCAGCGACCGCCGAGGCGTGAGCGACCGCGCAAGGTCATAGCCAAAACTACGAGCTGGCAGCTCAGAGCCCTGGTTGTGGGGCCCACGATGTGCGAGCTGCCTTTCTTTGTATGGGGGGCCCACTTTGGATAGACCCGAAGCTGGATGCCAGGGGCTCCCGAATCGTTTGTGCTCTCTTTTGGCCAATGCCCCGAGTAACGGTCACAAGCTCGCGAGCACGCAAGGTAGGTGATGATGGTTCGCCTTTCTTATTATGTATGGCGTGTGGAAGCTACACTCAGGAGAAAATAAGGAAGCTGGCTGCACCGTGCAAGCCAGAGGAGCGCAGTGGAGGTGCGAACGCCTTGCTGAGGCAGAAACGAAGCTTGCACCCCACGCGTGGTGTGCATGTGACGTGTGCGGCACAGGAAGTGCCTGCTTTTGGCCCCGAGACCCGTGCACTCGCCACTGCCTCGAGGCAGCAGCATCTGCCTGCCCGTGCTGCCCCCCTGGAGCGCCTTGCTGCCATCACCTGAATACCCGCTTCCGTCCGCAGCTGGGTGGACATCAGCCGCAGAGCAGAGGAGCACACAGATGATGTCAGAATGGTCACAGCCGACTTCGTCGAGGCTCTGGACCAAGTGTTGAAGGACCTCGATCTCGAACTCTCGGGCAAGTCTCGCATCATCGGCGGCCCCTACAAGCTAGCGGTCGAGATCTCGGAAACGATTCGACATAAACGCATCCACGTCGAATCGTCAGCTTCCGCACCGATGAGTGCATATTAACAGGAGAAGACTGAATAAAAAAGGCTAGGCATCGAGCAGCGATAGATCGGTCGATTCAGATGTCAAAATACAAGATGGATCGGAAGTGAAGATCAAGCTTTTAAGACAGGTGCCAACCCACAGAGCCTGTAGAGGCCAAGGTTTTCGGCGCCGCCCCGACTAAGGTTAGGAAGCTCCGCCAGCTGGCCGGGCAGAGGATACAAGGAAATAAGCCATGTAGATGCTCAACAGAGTTAGCTTTGAAAATGGGTACTGGGGGTCAAATATCCAGGGATAGTGGCGATTATGGAATGGCTCACGGGGTAAGTTTCTCCTGAAGATCCCCGACTGTGACCCCAGAATACGCCGCTCCAGGAAGAAAATCTGGACCCGAGTCAAGGATTTCAAGCCCTCACGCAGGTGGCTCTGAGTCCGAGGCCCCATCTCAGCCATCATCATCGCCCTCTTGGACCTCAAGTGGACCCCGAGGGAACCCCTCCACTGGCAGGACCCAGAGTGAAACGACTGGACGCCCAAGTCCGGCACGTCCCCGAACGATGCCGAGACCTGCAGGGGCTCTGACCAGTCCAACTCGTTGGCAGCAGTTGCACCCAGCAGCGAGATCAGCTTTTGGCCGCAGGCATCCAGCTTCGAGTGTGGAGCAGGACTCGCGCAGGGCACCGAACTGCACAGTCATCGGAGGATCTTGAGCAGGCAGGAGCGCCTAGGCAGGCACGCCCCGCAGGAGGGCACGCACGGCCACGGCGTGCGCGGGCTGGTGGACAAGAGGGAGGAGTGCGGGAAGCATGCCCGAGCCAGAGCCACCTTGTGCCCGAGATGCCGGCGGCACCCCGAAATCCTGCAGCATCGTGTCCGGCAGCGCTGTGAAGGCACAAGCGTCGGAGATCTCCAAGACCGAGCCTTCGATTGGCTAACTTGAGCTTGCGCCTCAAGCAGGTTGGGTGGCGGTCGTTGCCCTGTGAAGTGGGGGTGCCCCGGGGCAACGGTAACGCTTGGACGGGGTGGGGCACGTCCGGGTTGGGGTGCGCTGCGATCGCCACAATACACGCGCGCGAGCACCAGCATGGGAGGGGGGGTCAAGGCCCCCCCCATCACGCACGATCGCCACCCATACCCGGGGGTCCGGCTAACAACCGTTGCGCGCCAGAGGATCTAAAATTACGCATCCTGACGACGGACCCAACCACATGCAGCTGTGAGTCCCGCAAGGCAGATAATGCGCGAAGGAGGGGGCAAGCAAACAGCGAACGGCGTCGGACGCGGTCCCCCCCCCCCATAGGCAGCGCGCCGCGGAGGGGTGTGCCAAAATGGAGGGGGGGGGGGCCAGCATGCGAGCCCTCCTGCTGGAGCCTTCAGTGGAGCTCTCTACAGTCGATAGGGCCACAAACGTGCGAGGGGCGTGCCAAAGTGGACGGGGGGCAGCATGCGGGCCCTCCAGCTGGAGCCTTTGGTGGAGCTCCCTATGGGGCCACGGAGCGTGCGAGTGGTGAGCCAAAGATGGAGGGGGGAGGGGGCTGCATGCGGGCCCTCCGACTGGAGCTTCCGGTGGAGCTCCATATGGGGGCGTACAGATATGTGACTACTGATGGAAGTAATGCTGATGATGATATCGATAGGCGGATGATGATGGTGATGATGATGATGATGATGATGATGCTGATGTTGATGCTGATGCTGATGATGATGATGATGATAGTGATAATCGCTGATGGTGACGATGACAGCGGTGGTCATGATGATGGTGGTAACGATGATGACGGCGATGGTGTGATGACGATGGTGAATAATGATGATGTTGACGATGATGATGGTAATGCTGATGTTGGTAATGCTGGTGATGATGATGATGATGATGACGATGATGGTGTTGATGGTCATGATGGTGATGATGATAATGATGATGATGATGGTGGTGGTGATGATGGTGGTGATGATGGTGAGGGCAGTGATGATGCTGATGGTGATGAGCACGGCGGTGATGACGATGATGATGAAAATGGTGATGCTGATACTGATGATGATGGTAGAGATGATGATGACGATGATGCTGACGAGGATGATGATGACGATAATGACGACGTCATTGAGTATGATGTTGCTGATGATGATGGTGATGATGATGGCGATGATGATGATGGTGATGATGATGGTGATGATGATGACGATGATGCTGAGAATGGTGATGAGGATGAGTGGTGATGATGATGATGATGCTAATGATAATGATGATGATGGTGATGATGATGATGATGGTGATGATGATGGTGATGATTATGATGATGATGATGATGATGATGATGATGATGATGATGATGATGATGATGATGATGATGACGATGGTGCTGTGCTGATGCTGATGCTGATGACGATGATGATGATAATGCGGATGGTGCTGATGCTACTGGTGCTGAATGATGCTGACGCTGAAGATGACAATGCTTATAATGCTCATGAATATGGCGATGATGATGGTGGCGATATCGACGA